TGTTACGATTTCCTCGTCTTTGCTTCTCTACAGCAAATCAAGTAATCCAAAGTATTCAGATTACGTTACTCACTTTAAGTAATTTAATGGATTATGTTACAAACTACATTTTAGTGTATGTAATCTGTAATCTGTAGGCGAATACATTTTAAAAGTAAACTTCCCAACACTGCTTCTATCTAGATTTTAGCATCTTTGAATTTATTATCAGTCCATGAACACTAATCATAACTTTGTTTTAAGTCTGTTTATCTAGAATTTAGCCGAATTTAAAGCATTTTATTTAGAATCTGGCATCTGAGAACATATTATCAGGCCATGAACACTCATCATAAACTGGTTTTAAGTCTGTAACTTAGCATCCATAAACTTATTTCCAGCCCATGAACACTCACCACAGACTGATTCATTCTAGTTTAGAGGTCGTTTATTTTAAAAAAACAAGTCAAGTAAAATATTCTTGCTGCATGGACACATCATTTCACTACTTTTAAATCATTTTCTGCTAGATTTAAGTGTTTATATCTTACATTTTGGCCAAGCGTTTTTGCAGTGTTCGTCTCCTAAGCTCAAAATGCTCTGTTCCAAATGGTGAAGTTATGAAGCGGTACTTTTCAAGTGAACAGCTCCTTTTACCTTTTGTTCAGTAGAGATGATCAATTCCAGCACTGAAATTATCCAAATGGAGAAACAGAGTGGAGAGCTTTCTGATGACGAGAGTGTTTTCTGTTTTTGAGAGAAGAAATGTGCAGGGTTTGTGTGTTAAACCTGTGTGAATGAAGATCTGTCTGTGATGAGGAAACAACATTAGAACAGAGATCAGAACAGAGTGTAATATGGCTACTTTAACTGAACTAAAGCTAGAATACATGCATCACCAACTTCAGACTTCCGGTCATCGCGCAATCCATACTGGGAGGGATTTTCCGAAAAAGTGAACATCAAACCGCCATGTTTGTTTTCCCAGTGGGATGCGGCTGTTGTCAAAGTTGATCTTTTCAAGTCTTTTGAACCATATCACTTTTGTTTCTGGTTCTGATATTGTCATATTTTAGTTTTGAAATTCGGACATCGTAATGGTGTGGTTGTTGAATGTTCTAACAGTGGAAAACGGCTCGAGAAATGTGCTTCGGAAGTTTGCGAACTCTATAACTGCAAAAGAGAATTAGATCTGTGTGACTGCAAACCTCCGTTCAAACTAGGGATGGGCATTCGATGAAATTTTCTTAATCGATCATCGAGAGAATTAACAATCGATTATCGATTTATCATTCACGTTTTTATATTAAAATGATCATCATTATTATTACTATCTGCACTTCTAATCTGCATAAATAAATTCAACCTTACGACATATAAACCGTAACCACTCTAGAGCCACATCAGCCCGTTTGACATTATAATGTGTTTAATTCAGTTTTGTGCAACTCTCACAGAAACGAAAACTTAAAACCGCATCACTAATTTGCATAAACTCAGCGAAGATAAAACTACAGCTCTTGTGCTGATGTGGTCAATTTCTGTTGGATTAAAAGACATGACTCAGGTGAATACAGGTTAGTGTGACCAGATTTGCGTTTGTCAAAACCAGGACACCGTACAGGGGGAGGGAGGTGGGGACTCGTCATCGACATTGAGCGACTCTCACCTGGTAAAACTTTTTCCCACTGGACACAGAAACATATGTGCTGCTTTATACACTGTGCACATGGACTCACACTTGTCCTGACTAGAATGGAAAGTGTGGAATTTCTTGTACAAGTCATCGTTAAATACGCATTTGTGCTTCAGTACGTTGCAGACTGACCCACTGTTTGTGTCTCGCTCCTTCTGAGTGCAGAGACACATGTACAGACCTGTTTGGTCACACTACACACAGCAACCTGCATTCGGTTTGTCGATTAAAATTTACGTAATCGATGAAATTCTTAATGATCAATTATCGATTAATCGACTAATCATGCCCATCCCTAATTTAAACTGTTTTCCTTCCCAACGGAATTGACAAAATAGTGAAAGGTGAAGGCGATGGACAGGATTGATCCACAGGAAGAACCAAAAAGGAAACATTTGACTGACTAAGAAATCATCCCAAGTTTGCAGCGAACATTTTGTATGTGAAGCGCCAACAAAGCAAAACCCCGGTCCCTCGCTCAACCTTGGTTACGAATTTAACAAGTCAACGCCAACGTCAAGCGAAAGGCACCAGCTGTTCACCAAGAAACACCTTCCACTGCAAAGAGACCAAGACGTGATGTTGCTGTAAAACCACAAGAACAAGAAAGTGCAGCTCAGTCTGTTTGTCTTCTACTCCTCTCACTTAACAAACTGGATTTTGCCTTGTTGTCGCTCCACATACAAAAATGTTCACTGCAAAGTCAGGGTGATTTTTTAGGCAGTCAAATGTTTCCTTTTTGGTCCTTCTTGTGGATCAATCCTGCCCATCACCTTCACATTTCACTATTTTTCAATTCTGTTGGGAAGAGAAACAGTTTGAACAGAGGTTTGAAGTCACACACGTCTGATTCCCTTTTGCATTTATGGAATTCACAAACTTCCAGAGCTCGTTTTCCGCTGTTAGGACACTCAACAACCACACAATTACGATGTCCGAATCCCAAAACTAAATTATGACAATATCAGAACCAGAAACAAAACCAATATGATTCAAAAGACTTGAAAAGATCGACTTTGACAATAGACTCATCCCACTGGGAAATCAAACATGGCGGTTCGCTGCTCACTTTATCTGAAAATCCTTCCCAGTATGTATTGCGCGATGACTGGAAGCCCTAAATTCGCGATGCATGTATTACAAAAGAACTTGAGTCTTACCTGTGAGATCTCTCCCTGTAAACAATGTCTCCTCACAGTGTAGAAATCAATGCTGCACATAAAAGCTGTTATCTGTTCTCGTCTGGAGCATTAGTGATCATGATCATGCGTCGTGCCGTGGACATGAGAGCGGCTCTGGTCCTATTACAGCTCTCACGTCCTTCACATCAGACTATCAGATACTTCAGCTCATACTATAGGCCTGTGTATGTGAAAGCTATTAGACTCCACTTACACGGCCATTTGGGTTTTATCATCAGCACAGGCAGAAACAGCCCAGACACACACACACACACACACCCAGCCCCCCCAAACACCGACAGGGACTCGGACAGGGACTCGGACAGGGACTCGGACAGGGACTCGGACAGGGACTCGGACATGGACTCGGACAGGGACTCGGACAGGGACTCTGACAGGGACTCTGACAGGGACTCGGACATGGACTCTGACAGGGACTCTGACAGGGACTCGGACAGGGACTCTGACAGGGACTCGGACAGGGACTCGGACAGGGACTCGGACAGGGACTCGGACAGGGACTCGGACAGGGACTCTGACAGGGACTCTGACAGGGACTCTGACAGGGACTCGGACAGGGACTCGGACAGGGACTCTGACAGGGACTCGGACAGGGACTCTGACAGGGACTCTGACAGGGACTCGGACAGGGACTCGGACAGGGACTCGGACAGGGACTCTGACAGGGACTCTGACAGGGACTCTGACAGGGACTCGGACAGGGACTCGGACAGGGACTCTGACAGGGACTCGGACAGGGACTCGGACAGGGACTCGGACAGGACTCGGGACTCGGACAGGGACTCGGACTCTCTGACAGGGACTCGGACAGGGACTCGGACAGGGACTCGGACAGGGACTCGGACAGGGACTCTGACAGGGACTCGGACATCGGACAGGGACTCGGACAGGGACTCGGACACTCGACAGGGACTCGGACAGGGACAGGGACTCTGACAGGGACTCGGACAGGGACTCGGACAGGGACTCGGACAGGGACTCGGACAGGGACTCGGACAGGGACTCGGACAGGTGTGAGAGGGGAGGGAGGAGGAAGAAGGAAGAGAGAGGGAGGAGAGAGAGCGAGAGAGGAGGAAGAGAGAGGGAGGAGGGGTGGAGGAAGAGGATGAGAGAGGGAAGAGAGAGAGAGGAGGAGGAAAAAGGAAGGGGGGGGAGAGGGAGGTCAAGAGGAAGAGAGAGAGGGGAAGAAAGAGAGAGGGGGAGGAGAGAGGAGATGAGGAGGGACGATGGGGGGTGGAGGAAGAGGAGGAGAGAGGGAAGAGCAAGAGAGAGGGGTGAGGAGGAGGGAGGAGATGAGGAAGGGAGAGGAGGAGAGGAGGAGGGGAGGAAGAGAGAGAGGGAGGATAGAGAGGGAGGAGGGAGAAGGAAGGGGGGAAGGAAGAGAGAGGGAGGATAGAGAGAGGGGGAGGAAGGAGGAAGAGAGCGGAAGGATAGAGAGGGAGGTGAGGAGGATAGAGAGAAAGGGAAGGGAGAAGGAAGGGGGGAAGGAAGAGAGAGGGAGGAAAGAGAGAAGGGGGTGAAGAGGAAGAGAAGAGGGAGGAAAGAGAGAAAGGGGGAGGAAGAGAGAGAGGAAAGAAAGAGGGAGGTGAGGAGGAAGAGAGAGGGAGGATAGAGAGAAAGAGGGGGTGAAGGAGAGAAGAGGGGAGGAAGAGAGAGAAGGAAAGAGAGAGGGAGGATAAGAGAGAGAGGGAGGATAGAGAGGGGGGTGAGGAGGAAGAGAGAAAGAGGAGAGAGAGAGGGGGGATGGGGAGAGATAGAAGAGGCAGAGAGAGAAGAGAGACAGAGTGAGGGAAAAAGTGATGAGAGAGAGAGAACAAAGAAAGAGAGGAAGGGGAGTGGAAGAAATTGGCAGGGAGAAACAGAAAAGACGGTGAACAAAGAGAGAGGGAAAGAGAAAAGGAATGCGCAAAGAAAGAGGGATGGAAAAAGTACAGATGAAGAAAGTGAAGGGAGTCAGGATCTTTTTTTAGCGTTCTTCCATGTGATTCTTTTGTTCCCTCATGAAAAACTTGCCTGATGACTTTTTATACGTCCTCCATGCATGTTTGAGTCATGTAGCGATCTCTCCTGTTTTTATTTACTGCTTTTAACGCTTGAATTTTGCGTCTTTGTCCTGTCTGCAGGTGGCGCTGGTTTACCCTAACAACGACCCCGCCGCCTTTATCACAGCGTTTTACGGCTGTCTGCTCGCCGAGATCGTCCCCGTGCCCATCGAGGTCCCACTCTCCAGGAAGGTGAGATACTTCAGACGCTCACCGTGTGTTTTCATGTCTGTCGTGCACATTTACATTTATATATTTATGCCTTTTTTGACCCCAGTCTCTTGCTATTTTTGCTACTTATTTAGATTTTTTTTTTCCATTTATATGTTTTCTCTTTGTCGTTATGTGATATTGTGACTTGTGAGCTTCTGTGTCCAAACAATTTCCCTTGTGGCTCAATAAAGTTTATCTAAAGGCCGCTTCACACTGCAGGAGAATTTGCCCGATTTTGGCTGTGATTTGTGTCTTCCCGAGTCGAGTTCGGGTTCGAGTTCGGGGAGGTGTGACCCGACTTTGTGCAATCGTGTCAGTGCTCCTCGTGCGTGTGTGTTTGTGGTGTCAGCGTGACTCTGAGCTGCTCTGTCGGATCGTAACCACCAAACATCAGTAAAGCTATAGCCAGTAAAACAGAGCTCAGGGACTAGAACGAGACTTTATTACTCACCTTTCATAAAGCTGTACATTTAAACTGCTACATCTCATCCATAGCATGCATATTATCCTCTACAAATATTGACACGCAGTTCACAAAACAGCGCTGTGAATCCAGTTTGAGGCGTTGTTTAAAAGTAAAAAGGTGGGAGTAGTTCCTCACGTGTGTCTGTTTACATCCACACAGCGCACGGATCGAGGTGAAGCTGCAGATTAACCATAGTGATTCTACTTCCTGTGGACTTTATCTCCAATCTTCTGTGCATTAAAATCCTGTATCTGAAGTTTTGCACCACATTTCACAAATAATAATAACACAGTTTTGACTTGGATCTAAACTAGAATTGCAGAGCTCTGATCTCTGAACACTTAAGAGCAGAGGTGAGGACTTGCAAGTCGTGACTTGGACTCGAATCAGATTTGAGTCACTATTTTTAGGACTTGGGACTTGACTTGATAAAATGGACGAAGACTTGGGACTCAACTTGGACTTGAAGGTCAGTGACTTGGGGCTTGATTTGATCTTGAGGCATGTGACTTGAGAAAACTTGAGAAGCACTTTTAAATCTGAATTCTTTCTATTCTGACTGTAATGATTCACTCTCAGGCTACGTTCAGACTGCAGGGCTTAACGCTCAATTCAGATTTTTGTGAAATCCAATGTTTTTGTGAGGTCGTTCACATTTCCAATTAAATGTGACTTGTATGTGACTCCAGTGTGAACATTAAACGGCCCGAAAGTGTCCCACATGTGACACTGGAGACACGACGACGTCAACCGCAGTGAGCGTCTCTGTGTTTACACAAGTTGTCCAAACATGGACGCAGCATCGAGCACCTGGAGATTTTAAAGTTCCTCTCGTACCAGAGCCAGAACATGAACAACTTACTTGTTTTAAGGAGGAGATTGAGAAGGAGATGGACGAGGTTTTTGGCCGTGGTGTTTTGTGGGTCAGTCCGTTGAAAGGAACGTGTGGATGTGGAGACGGAGCCAAGAGTGGTGAGTGGTGATGTGCTTCACTTCAGTGACATGGAGTTCATTAACAATTTTCTCCTACTTCAGCGCAGAATAGTGACGTTTGTGTCTTGTTGATAACGTGTAGGTGGATGAATGTGCTTTGACCGTTCAGACTGAAGTCACATGTCAAAAGATCAGATATGTATCAGTTTCAGGAGCACATATCCAAGTGTCCTGGGTCACATTTGAAAAAAATCAGATCTGTGTGGTTAAGACTGACATTAAAAGATCAGATACAGGAACATAGGGGCCAAAAAATCGGATTTGGGTCACTTCAGCCTGCAGTGTGAACACAGCCTTAGATTTTGTCAAGACATTTAAAAAGGAAAACTTTACATTTCTACAACTCATATATACTCTTTAAATACTCATATATAAATATACTATGACGTATGAAGTACAATTTATCTTAAAATTCATATTGCATCTAAGCTATATTTGGTAGTTTGGTTTAAAGACTTGAAATGATTGGAAGGTCAAAGCAGACAACTTGGACTTGACTTGGACTTATGGAACAGTGACTCGAGGCTTGACTTGGACTTGCCTGTATTTGACTTGGGACTTGACTCAGACTTGAGGTCAAAGACTTACTTGAGACTTGCAAAATGACAACTTGGTCCCACCTCTGCTTAAGAGTCTCAGAGCGAGTGGTTTTCCTCGAAACAGGAAACAGATTATGCGATTGTGCTCACAGAGGTGTAGAAGGCCGACAAAACCTGCTGCAGTCTTTGCGATCGGAGATTTTAAGTCTCATAAGATTCTCCTCGTGTCTGTGATGTATGCTTTTTGTGGCACATTTAAAAATCCTTTGTGTGTGTGTGCGTGGTGGCTGTACGTTTAATTAGCTTCACAATAATAGAACAGAAATAGAAAATGTGATTATATATATATATGAATATGATAGTTGTTTTATTGACCTTACTCCACCCCGACAACAAACCCCAATCATTTCAATACAAAATTTTAGACTAGTTTTGCTACTAAAATATAATGCAAATTTGTTTGATTTGTGTAAAATGTTCAGTGTTCATGTGCACCGACAGTCAACACTGCACTGATTCTCTGGGGGTTTTAAAATGGCTTTATAGTCTGTATAAAACGTATTTACTGTGAGATGGGCAGCCCCGTGCAAAATAATACACCCTGAATGACTAGGCCTGTCACAATAACACATCTGAAGTGAGCTGTATCGCTGAAGTAAATATAGACAATAAATTATAATACTGAAACCAAACCATAAAGCAGAATTATCCCCAAACAGTATTAATGTAGTAAAAATATGAGCTGCAATAAAAACGTAACAGAATGCAAGACTTAAACGTGCATTGTGTAACTTTTCCGGTGGAGGGTTCATCAAATGCTGCTCTTCAGTGTGGTATTAAACTGTTTTATCTTCATGGAAACCAAATTAAACCAAGTTACAGGTCAGATCTGTGAAGAGGCGACCCCCGCTCACAGTCAGAATGTGTGTTTTTCTATCTACTGTTGAGCTATAAAACCACCTGTAATTGAATAAATGTAAAGTAGAGCTGTTTAATGTCACACGTAGCTCCTCCCACACTGCCCTCTCCAGCAGAGACAGTACGTAGCTCCTCCCACACTGCCCCCTACAGTCTGTGACACACTGTGCTCTCCCGTCCTCTTTCTAGACACTCAAACTCTGTATATATATTACACAGCAACTTCTCACAGATGTTTTCTGAGTAAAACTTATGAGAAAAAGATCATGTTTATCACGAGTCGTGTCGCGGGGGTGAATACGAGCGCACGATGAACTCCTCCTCTGTTAGAATATTTCAGCTGTAAGTCCCTATGGAGCTGTTTTGTGCTGCATCGGAGGAGGACGCCAAGAGAACTGTTTCCCTTGGGACCAAAATGACACACAGAGACATGGAGGGACACATGTATCAAATGAATACGTGTGTCAAATCATGAGACCAGTATCGAATGTTTCAATATTATATCAAATATCATTGTGTCCCTAGTAGTTACATAGTCCTTTAAGTAGAGTCATAGAAGTTCATAATTTAACCTTCTCCAGCTCAAATCTTATTGCGGTACAGAAAAATACACAACATTTTCCCACTTGTGCAAAGAAAAAGGACGTTAAGTAACATACTGACCCCCCACAATGATGGTTCCATCTGTCACGTATTGACCGTTAACTCTATATGCTGTTTATTGTGACAGGCCTATGGATGACGATGGCAGCGCCCATGGCAACTTCCGGGATAAGGTGAATTGCGAGTAGTAACATATATTTTTGTGTTTTTTTTAGGACGCAGGAAGTCAGCAGATCGGCTTCCTGTTGGGCAGCTGTGGTGTGACGGTGGCTCTGACCAGTGATGCGTGTCATAAAGGACTGCCCAAGAGTCCCACGGGCGAGATCCAGCAGTTCAAAGGTAACACAAAACAACAACAAAAAAAAGACAAAACTACAAAATACAGGGATAATCCTTTTTTCTTGATTGTTTGTACAGGTGTAAATAGAGAGAGAGAAAGACATTTACATGATGTTTTTTTAATTCAGAATTAATTGTTCTGAATGAAATAGTTCAGAATTCAAATATCCTCCTTGGAGTTTACAGGGAAATAATAATTCTGAATTGAGGTTTACATGGAAAACACGTTAAATCATCCTTATTTAATTCCACTCAGTGTCTGAGAGTGGGGAAGGTTCTGATTGGACAGAGACACAAACGTATTTACGACGACCAGAAGAAAACACACACTTCAGCTGCTACCGGCTTTTCTGTCATCTCCGTTTGTCGTTACGCCGCCGACACAAACATGATCCAAACTTTTCCACGGTCATTCCGATGATAACTGTGCAGCAGCTGGAGAATTCTGTCATCACGCTTTACAAAGTCTGTCAGCTGAGGAGGAGAAGGGAAGAGTGTCGGAGAAGGAGGAAGAAGACAAACTGAGTGTGAGGCTGCTCTACCTCAGCCCACTCCCACATCCCGCTCACAAATCCAAAGAGACGTGGAGGAAAGTCCCAAGACAGGACTGGTGGAGCCGGATCGTGTCAGAAGGACGACCCAACGAGTATGCACTGAACCACCGGAATTATTTTTAAGAAGAATGAACATTTACATGATCCAGGAAGAAATTAATTCGGCTTTAAAACTGGAATAAACCAGCCACTTACTTAAGTTTCATTCTGAATAACCGTTTTCATTAGGAATTAAGTGGCCGAATTACATGGTCTTTTTTACGATTCATTTTTATTAAGAATTAAATTATTTCTATTTGGATTTAAAGTTCTCATGTAAACGTGGCAAAAGTGACAGATAGGGATGGAGAAAGAGGAGAGAGATAACGCAATGTTCTAATTAGATTTTTGTTGTGAATATCACCACAGGTGCAGTGAACAAAGCGCGCCCACAAACCGTAGGATTTCTGGTTTCATCAGTCGCTCATTTGTGTAATTACTTGGACTCATATCTGATTGCCTTTTGATTGTCTGATAATCAGGAAGTGCGTGTTAACATTCTATTATCCTTACTGCCATGGCAAAACACTGCGCTGGTGTCTTGGTTGTGAAAAGTGCTTTTAAACTCATTGCAGTGCATAATTCGGATGCCCTGAATGCAGAAGGTAAAAGAAGAATAATTTTGGACAACTGCAAACTCTTTCAAATGAACAAGCTTTGTTTTTTTATGTTTTTTAAGACAGTACAGCCCCTTTAAACACCCGTAAACATTCTTCATCACTCCCAAACCCAGTCCCGTCCTCTTCCTTCCCTTCCTCCTCTTCTTTTTCCTCTCCTCTTCCTCTTCCTCCTCTCGTCCTGATGAACGCTCCGTGTGATGGCGGCCGACGGCTGGACAGACTAATGGACAGAGGCCGGGAGCGAGCGAGCGAGCGGGCGCTGTAATGTGCGGATCGATAAAACAAATAAAAAAAGATCAGGAACGTCCACGTGCCGCCGCACAAAGAAAAGCACAGAGGAGCGGGGCGATGAAGAGGAGAGAGATGAAGAGCTGATGGTTGTGTTGAGTAATGATCATGAGGAGAAGAACATGTGGGAATAGCCAAACAGACGGGGCTTTACACATGTCCTGGTTACTCAGTTGCGTTGATCGTGATCAGGCGGTGAAAGCGATCGGGAGCTGTCAGCACGTTCAAACTAATACTTCAACCTGATTGGTCGACTTGTGACAACATCAGAGCAAGCTAAAAAAAAACAAAAAACTTTTGTTCAATCCAGTTGAGAGAAAAGCACAGACATCTTTCTTGTTTATAAATGAAGTTGGCCGGTCGATGTCGTCATGTTTGTTTTGGTTTGTTTGATTCTCCTTTGGCTTTCATTTTAACCACAACGCTGCTCTGTGATTGGTCCAGAGAAAAAAAGAAACAAAAGTTGCTCGCTAGTGTGATCTGAAGCTGTCCACAAGAGGGTCCAGCATCATGGTCCATCAGAGCAGCACTTTGTTGTGATGACGTTTAAGTCGATGTTCTGTAAAGGGACAGGCGGGAATCAGCTGCCATTGGCCTTTATCATTTTCAAGAACAGAATTACTTCCCAAATTTCAAAGACCTGCAAATCCTCTTCAGGTTAACTTTCAAGCTTCATCTTTGACTAACTACATCTCTAGGTAGTAAACTTATGGAAATTAAAACTATTAGGTGTTAGTATATCATGTATATAAATATTGGTTCTTAAGGAAAAGTTAATCATGTAAATAAATGGATTTTCAAAAAAAAATATTTTAAATGATAAAAATTTGCTTGGAAGGACTGATATATTTTATAGAAATACTTTCCTTTCATTTTGAAGTAATATTAAAGTATTCAGAAGGAAAAAGCGACAAATGATGTAAAATCCTGCACCTTCTACTTGTTTGTACAATTTTCCCTCTGTTACTTTTCCCTCCGTTACCATGACCTTTATTAATAAAAAATCTCATGAGTCAAAAAGTAAGAGGTTTTTCAACCTAATCTTGTACCATATGGTAGAAAACTATATGAAGCAAATATTCAAACCAGTTTGTTAAGGATATGTAAGTGAGAACCAAGAGTTATCACTGTTTGGATTTATTGCCCAAAAAGTGCTGCATATTTCATTCCCTCTGTTACTGACATGAGTTTTTAAATTTTTTGTCAACAACTTGAAAGAATATCACAGGTTTAACTTGACCCTGTTGGAGTGTAACTCTTTCCTACATTCTGATACTTTACTTATTTCAATAGTCCCTCTAGTTTCTGAATAAGAGACATTTGAATGTCAAAAATCTGCTCCTGTTTCCCTCCGTTACCACTTGACCAGACCCATTTATATAGCACCTTTAACAGATAAGAAATCACAAAGTGCTTTACAGAGCAAAAAACAATATAAAAACAACATAAACAAGAACAGAGGAATTACAGACACAGTCAACTAAAAGCCTGTCTATAGAGCAGTGTCTGGGGCTGGGGGCAGGGCATTCCATAATTTGGGAGCCACAGCCTGAAAGCAAATGTCACCCCCAGTTTTAAATCAGGTCTTTGGGATCATCAAGAGGCCCTGACCAGAGGACCTGGAGGGCGCGGCCTGAGGAGTAGGGGTGCAGTAAATCACTGATGTACTGGGGCCTGTCCATTTAAAGCTCTGTAAGTTAAAACCAAAATTTTAAAATCAACACAGAACTTAACAGGAAGCCAGTGCAGTGAAGATAAAACAGGTGTAATGTGATCAAGTGCCTCCAAGCTTCTTCCTCCGGTGAGCTACCTTTACAAAATAAAAAATGCCAGAGAGCTACTCATTTTAGTGGCCGCAAGAAATTGAGACGATTATAAGGAAGACAGCGAGCCTTGGGGTACAGTTAGACGCCTATAAAACATAAACCACTGTTCATTTCTTACACACAAAATTGGGCTTCAAAATGATACATTTACAAAAGTAATAGGCATGGAATTAACCACACTGTGGTTATTCAGCACAATGGTAGACTTTCGAAATCTCTTGGACTACATTCACTCTGCAGCCTGAAGTGACTCAAATCAGATTTTTTGGCCCCTATGTGACCTGTATCTGATCTTTTAATGACAGTCTGAACCACACAGATCTGATTTTTTTCAAATACGACCCAGGACACTTGGATATGTGCTCCTAAAACTGATACATATCTGATCTTTTGACATGCGACTTCAGTCTGAACAGACAAAGTGCATTCATCCACCTACACGTTATCAACAAGACACAAATGTACACAAACGTTCTTCTCGTCATACAAAAATTGTTCATGAACGCTGTGCCACTGAAGTGAAGCACATCACTATCCCACCACTCTTGGCTACATCTCCACATCCACACGTTCCTTTCAACGGACTGACCCACAAAACTCCACGGCCAAAAACCTCGTCCTTCTCCTTCTCAATCTCCTCCTTAAAACAAGTAAGTTGTTCATGTTCTGGCTCCGGTACGAGAGGAACTTTAAAATCTCCAGATGCTCAATGCTGCGTCCATGTTTGGACAACTTTTGTAAACACAGAGCACGCTCGCTGCGGTTGACGTCGTTGTGTCCTCCAGTGTCACATATGGGACACTTTCGGGCTGTTTAACGTTCACACTGGAGTCACACACAAGTCACATTTAATTGGAAATGTGAACGACCTCGCAACAAACATCAGATTTCACAAAAAAATCGGAATTGAGCGTTAAGCCCTGCAGTCTGAACGTAGCCTTGGTGAGCTACTGGTAGGAGACTCCTGTTTTAGATCAATACTGAGGTTTCCCTATACACGACATGATGATCCACAGGTGTCATAGATTATAAATGAACAGCAGAAAAAAGCAAAATACGTATTTATAAAGCTGTAATTGTAATAGGGATGTAACAATAACTGAAATATCGTGATATCGTATCGTGAAAGTTCTCTCAATAATATCATGGACCATCACAATATATCGAATTACAAGTCTCTCTGCTTAAATGAAGAGTTATGGTGCAGCAATAACTAAAAAAAAAAAGACAGAGGGAACTACATAGACCATGATCCTTTGCTCCATTTCAGTGCAGACTACAAGAAGAAATAACAGTTCTTACACTTTTAAGTCTTAGTTCTTTGGATTAAGTCTTGTCAAGGCATTTTAAGGGGAAAAAGTAACAAATTAACAGTTTTGTTCACCTCCACAAAATATCACAATAAATATTGTACCGTGAGATGTATATCATGAAAACATCGTACTGAGAGATTTGAATGAGCCTCCCCACCATATCATGAGCTTTCCCATGATATCCCTATAAATATCGTGAGGTTCATACCGTGAATGATATCGTATCGTGATATCGTTGATATCTTTGATATCGTTACACTCCTAAATTGTAATCATGATTAAAATAAATACTTATAAAATATGACTTGTTTCACTGCAAGTGTTTTGCCCGTGGACACAACAGCAGGACTAGAGCTGAATTCACTAGAGCAGACATGTCAAACTCAGGTCCAGGGGCCAAATTTTGCCCATGATATAATTATATTTGGCTCACGAGATCATATCAAATATGCATTAGAGCTGGTCCGCCGGTTACAGATAGACTATAGAGACATTATTTATTTAAAATGTTGTTACTTTATATTCTACTTGTTCTAGATTCAATGTTTAAACAAAACTATAAACAAACATTTATTTAAATAAGAAAAGGTTTAACATTACATACCTTGAAAAAGCATAAAACATGCAGATGATGTTGAAATCTTTCAGTAAATATTTATATTTGGCCCACGACTTAGTCCCAATTTTTTATTCTGGCCTCTGTGAATTTGAGTTTGACCCCCCTGCACTACAGAGTTGGGTTTTATTTTTATTTTTAAATACTCTCATCAGAGCAGATACAGTGACAATGGTAACTGTAATTAATAGTGAATTGAATTAGTCCTCTTGACATGCCCTGTTGAGTCCTCACTCATCCTCACTCAGCAGCTCTCCACTCTCCCTCACTCTCTCTCTGTTTCTCTCTTTTCTCCACTTTGCTCACTTTCCTCTGCTCTCTTTCTCTCCCCCTCTTCTGTCCTTTCTCCTCTTTCCATCTTTCTCTCCTCTCTTGTTCCCCTATCCCTCTCACATCCCTTCTTCTCCCCTCCTCTCCTCCTCTCCTCCCTCTCTCCTTCCCTCTTTCATTATTGTTGAGTGCTCTTTTATTGATTAGCAGAGTCATCTCTCTGGCACCTCTCACTCCATGTTTAACTGCTCACTCCGTGTTCAGGACGTCAGTGTAAAAGGCTCAAGTCTGTAATTCCACGTCTTAATACAATACTCCATCTTGTACTTGGACTTGTTTGTAAATTGTCTGCAGTGTTGGGAATAAACTGAACACGTACACTGTGTATACAGATTCAGAACACTCATTTTGACTAACTGTACAGGGTGAACCGTGATATAGCGAGGGACGACTGTAATAACAAATACACAACCTCACTGTGTAACGTTTTGTGCTGGAGTTTGTCACTTTGCTGCTTTGCTTGGAATGTTCCACAGTGTGACATTAAACAGCTCTAACTTTTACATTTCTTCATTTGCAGGTGGTTTTACTGCTCAAAAATAGCTAGAAAAACAGGCGTTCTGACTGTGAGTGGGGTCGCCTCTCCATGGATCTGATCTGTAACATGGTCTAGTTTAGTCTCCGTGAAAGTAGAAATGTTTAAGGCCATACTGTGAAACATTCCAGACCAGACCTGGGCACTGTGCAGCTCCTTTGGTCGACTCTGACCGACTCCTTTAACCTTATTTGAAATTACAAATTAAACATATTTGACTTCTGTAATAATATATAATTAATCATATAATTCAGTCATTTGACCTCATGCATTGGCTAAAGCTGCATTACTTTTATTTTAGATGTGTTTTTTTGAATGATTTTTTATTTTTTTTATAAGGCAGCCTCACTTTTCCATTGCTTAGTCCAGGGGTCATCAAATTAAGGCCCGCGAGCCGACTCTGGCCCTCCACGCCCTTTTGACCGGCCCCCAGCCCCTCTGACCCTCTGCCCCTCTGACCTTCACCACTTGAACTGGTCCTATGAGGCAATCCTCAAAAGTTGTCAAGGCCTATTTTTATTTTTTTTTATTACTTTTTGGCAATAATAACACATCTGCATCTTGTATTTTGTTGATTTTTTTCAATTACAAATGATATTTATATGAAATATTTATATTTAAATAATTATATGACATATTTACATTTGCGGCCAAATTTTCGTCGCCTGAAAAACTCGAGCTCAAACAGTGACAGTCAATGCACGTGCAGAGTTCTTTAGTGCAGTTAAGAACAGCAAAATGATTTGTTTTAAAGTGCAAGAAGTTGACAGAGAGTGTTGAGTTTTCAAAGAACAGTGGACGACTGATTCTTTTTTTGTTCAGTGTAAGGACCATGCAGTTTGTCTGATATGTAATGAAAGTGCAGAGGTTTTCAAAGAATATAATCAGTGTTGTGAGGGTCATACATTCTGTTGTACGACCGACCCAACCCCAGCTCACATCACAGTCAGAAGCCATAATGTGGCCCCCAGAGAAAAAAGTGTGGTGACCTCTGGCTTTGTCATAACAACAATGAAGTTTAAAGCGTCTTTGAGACATATGTCTGTGAAAAGTGCTATATAAATAAAAAACTTACTTATAACTTATACTTCCCAGTCTTACCAGCTCATCAAAACAATGTTATTTACTGCTTTTGATAAAGAAATACAATTCATATAATGCAGAACTGAGTTAAGCATTTTGGCCTCCACAGTATTTTCTGTTTCTCATGTGGCCCCATGGCAAAAAGAATTGCCCACTCCTGTTCCTGTTCTAGACAAAGCAATAACTCCTCCACAGAGAACAGCATTTGACGGATCCTCGACCAGAAAAGTTACGCTATGCCCCTTTACCTCTGATCTAACCGGTCTGTTTTGTCCCTCTGTGTGTCCAGGTTGGCCTAAAGTTTTGTGGTTCGTCACAGAGTCCAAGCACCTGTCCAAACCTCCACGAGACTGGTTCCCTCTGACCAAAGACGCCAACCAGGACACAGCCTACATAGAGGTCAGTATTTCAGCCTGTCCAATGGGTCTGGGGACACAGAGTCTGTTATACCCAAAAAAGAGCATTCCATGAGCTACATTCACTGTCGGAAACTGGTACAGACTCAGGCTTCAATGATTAAAGGACTAATTGTGACTAATCGACTATGAAAAATAATCTTAAGGCCGCCACACACTAAAGGACTTTTCGGTCTTAAACGATTTTTAAATGCGCGACAAAAAAGCACACCACAGACTTGAGGAGAATCTTGAGAGACTTCAAATCTCCGATCGCAAAGACTCTAGCTCGATATGTCTGCAGTTGTGAGTTTGATTGTGTCTGCTGCTTTCTGTCTAGAGTAAAACCACTCGCTCTGAGACTCTTAAGCATTCAAAGATCAGAGCTGTGCACTTTTAGTTTAGATACAAGTCAAAACTGTGTTGTTATTATTTGTGAAATGTGGTGCAATATTCAGGTACAGGATTTTTAAAACATAGAAAGCCGGAGATAAAATCCACAGGAAGTAGAGTCACTATGGTGAATCTTACCTCAATCCGTGCGCCGTGTGGATGTAAACAGACAAACGTGAGGAACTACTCCCACCTTTTTACTTTTAAACAATGCCTCAAACTGGATTCACAGCGCTGTTTTGTGAACTGGGCTCATTATTTGCAGAGGACAAATTCTATGGATAATGTGGATGAGATGCTGCACTTTAAATGTACCACTTTACGAGAGGTGAGGAGTCAAGTCTTCGCAGTATTTTTGCTCTATCCTGAGTTTCTGTCTTGCGTCTCTGTGTCCGTCACTTCATCTGCCCCTGACGTTTTTTTTTATTGGCTCTTACCGTGGTTTGGTGGTTATGATCTGACCGAGCCCTGATCACACTGATATCACACACAAGGAGCACAGCAACGCCAAAATCGCGATCATCAAAGAAGCAAATCGCAGCCAAAATCGGGCAAATTCCTGTACTGTGCGGCGGCCTTTAGTGTGTTTTGATCATCTTAATCGTTATTTGGACTTTACTGACTTCAGCAAACACAGCGGCGTGCTTAAATCTCCTTGATAAAGTAGAAAAGTTAAAGTTGGCACTGTCACAGTTGTTTCCACATGGTTCTGATCCAAGAATGTTGTGTCTTTCTGGGCCTTGCTTCTTTATGGTTCTCATCCAACAAAATGTTTCCAGTCTGTTTTTTTTTTTTTCTTTTCACAAATAGCTGCTTTGAACTAATAACTTTCCTGAACTAGAAGAAATAAAAGCCAAGTGCAAGTGCTTTTAAAGGTGCACTATGTCACTTTTTTGTTGTATTGTTTGCCTGGAATGTTCCACAGTATGGCATTAAACTGTCTACGTTTATTCAGTTACTGGGGTTTTGATTGCAAAGAAAATACCTTAAAAAAATCATGCATTCACCTGCTTGTCTCCTTGAAGAAAGAATAATGCCGTACTGTGCAACATTCTAGAAATCTCCATAACAACTCCATACAGACAAGAGGTGACTGACCTTCTACCAGAAAAGCTCCAGAGTGCAGCTTTAAGAACATTTAGTACAACTCACCTTTATGTAACAAATAATACTCCCTGCAACTGTACAACAACTCACTTTTATGTAACAGATAATACTCCCTACAACTGTACAACAACTCACTTTTATGTAACAGATAATACTCCCTACAACTGTACAACAACTCACTTTTATGTAACAGATAATACTCCCTACAACTGTACAACAACTCACTTTATGTAACAGATAATACTCCCTACAACTGTACAACAACTCACTTTATGTAACAAATAATACTCCCTACAACTGGACAACAACTCACTTTTATGTAACAGATAATACTCCCTACAACTGGACAACAACTCACTTTATGTAACAGATAATACTCCCTACACTGTACAACAACTCACTTTATGTAACAATAATACTCCCTACAACTGTACAACAACTCACTTTATGTAACAGATAATACTCCCTACAACTGTACAACAACTCACTTTATGTAACAGATAATACTCCCTACAACTGTACACAAACTCACTTTTATGTAACAGATAATACTCCCTACAACTGTACAACAACTCACTTATGTAACAGATAATACTCCCTACAACTGTACAACAACTCACTTTATGTAACAGATAATACTCCCTACAACTGTACAACAACTCACTTTATGTAACAAATAATACTCCCTACAACTGTACAACAACTCACTTATGTAACAGATAATACTCCCTACAACTGTACAACAACTCACTTTATGTAACAGATAATACTCCCTACAACTGGACAACAACTCACTTTATGTAACAGATAATACTCCCTACAACTGTACAACAACTCACTTTATGTAACAGATAATACTCCCTACAACTGTACAACAACTCACTTTATGTAACAAATAATACTCCCTACAACTGTACAACAACTCACTTTATGTAACAGATAATACTCCCTACAACTGTACAACAACTCACTTTATGTAACAGATAATACTCCCTACAACTGTACAACAACTCACTTTATGTAACAGATAATACTCCCTACAACTGTACAACAACTCACTTTATGTAACAGATAATACTCCCTACAACTGTACAACAACTCACTTTATGTAACAGATAATACTCCCTACAACTGTACAACAACTCACTTTTATGTAACAGATAATACTCCCTACAACTGTACAACAACTCACTTTATGTAACAGATAATACTCCCTACAACTGGACAACAACTCACTTTATGTAACAGATAATACTCCCTACAACTGTACAACAACTCACTTTATGTAACAGATAATACTCCCTACAACTGTACAAAACTCACTTTATGTAACAAATAATACTCCCTACAACTGTACAACAGTCATTATGTAACAGATAATACTCCCTACAACTGTACAACAACTATGTAACAGATAATACTCCTACAACTGTACAACACTTAACAGTAATACTCCCTACAACTGCACAACCACTCGCCCTACGTAACAGATAATACTCCCTACAACTGTACAACTCACTTATATATAACATATAATACTCCCTACAACTGTACAACAACTCACATTTACGTATTTATTATTACAATGTATATTTTTTTCTCTTTGATGTTATATTATATTGTGATGTGTGAGCTCCTGTGTTTTAAAAATTCTCTTGTGGATCAGTAGTTTGTCTAAGTCTGATGTAGAGTGCGTTATGCTCTTTAGAAATGTGATTTTTGTGTTTTGTTTCCGTCCTCTTGTCCAGTATAAGACGTGTAAAGACGGCAGCGTTCTCGGGGTGACAGTGACCAGGACGGCGATGCTCGCTCACAGTCAAGCCTTAACCCAGTGCTGCTCCTACACCGAAGGTACACAAAACCTCAACTCCACATCACAATTACACCTTATTTTTCATCTTTTAAAGTGTATTTTTGATGTATTTGCCTTTTAGCCGAGACCATAGTGAATGTATTGGACTTCAAGAAAGACGTGGGACTGTGGCACGCTGTCCTCACTGTGAGTCCAAAAAACATCTCACTTTATAATGGAAACTTTACAAGATTTCTAACACGAGTAGAATCGTTTTTCATGTGAAAGAGTTGGAATGGAAGATTATTTTGGATTTAAAGTTTTTGATACATTATTTGAATCTGCTTTTGATCATTTATATAGTTTTTTTTTAAATTATTATTTCTTTTTTTATGTCTTCTTTTTCATAAAACACCATTTAGCACATGTAGTGAAAATGAGTTATGCATAAATGTTTCAGATGTTTGATTAATTATTGTAAAAATAAAAAAATATATAGTTTTTTATTAACAGACATATTTTTAAAGACCAGATCGAGCAATTCCCATTACTGAAGACTAGAAACTTCTCATTCACATTTGTGGACACTATTACCAACCAACATTTTAGAGTCTGTTTTTGTATTTTAGTTTAGATGCTCATTAGTTTGCAGCAGGCATGTCTAAACTCAGGCCCGTGAGCCAAATGCGGCCCTCAGACAAATTTTTCTTGGCCTTCAGGCTTCCAGGTGAATTGGCCAAAATGACTTTGCATCAATTAAATTTTTTTTACTGCAATTTAAAAAAAAAAATCTACTTTGATCTTAGCATGAATAAAGACTGATGGCTCATTCTAACGTGTTAAACATGCACATATTTCAATTATTCACTGTATTCATCACCAGTCTGTGGCCCTCGATCTTCCCTCTGCTTCGTCTGTGTGGCCCTTGATGAAAAAAGTTTGGACAGCCCTGCTTCACAGTAAAATAAACACATTTTTAGGCTTATATTTTAGCACAGTGATCAATTATTCCACATGTTTGAAACTAGTATGTAAACTGGAGAACTGAGAGAAAGGGTTTCCTTCATTCCTGCTTTCACTGTGTATTGCCCTGTATGCGTATGTACTCTGTAGTACTCTATATACTGTACTATATGTATATATACTCTATGTATACTATGTAAGCTGTGTACAGTGTTAATGTCCGAGGCCATGGCTGGTTATGTTGTGTGTGTGTGTGTGTGTGTTTCAGAGTGTGATGAACATGATGCACGTGATCAGTATCCCCTACGCCCTCATGAAGGTCAACCCTCTGTCCTGGATCCAGAAGGTCTGCCAGTACAAAGGTACATCTGAGACCAGAGACCAGACCTGAGACCAGAGACCAGACCTGAGACCAGAGACCAAACCTGAGACCAGAGACCAGACCTGAGACCAGACCAGACCTGAGACCAGAGACCATGAGACCAGACCTGAGACCAGAGACCAAACCTGAGACCAGAGACCAAACCAGAGACCAGACCTGAGACCAGAGACCAGACCTGAGACCAGAGACCAGACCTGAGACCTGAGACCAGACCTGAGACCAGAGACCAGACCTGAGACCAGAGACCAAACCTGAGACCTGAGACCAGACCTGAGACCAGAGACCAAACCTGAGACCAGAGACCAGACCTGAGACCAGAGACCAGACCTGAGACCAGAGAGACCAGACCAGACCAGAGACCAGAGACCAGACCTGAGACCAGAGACCAGACCTGAGACCAGAGACCAGAGACCTGAGACCAGAGACCAGACCTGAGACCTGAGACCAGAGACCAGAGACCTGAGACCAGAGACCAGAGACCTGAGACCTGAGACCTGAGACCAGAGACCAGACCTGAGACCTGAGACCTGAGACCAGAGAGACCAGACCTGAGACCAGAGACCAGACCTGAGACTAGACCTGAGACCAGAGACCAGACCTGAGACTAGACCTGAGACCAGAGACTAGACCCAGAGACTAGACCCAGAGACCAGACCTGAGACCAGAGACCAGACCAGAGACCAGACCAGAGACCAGACCTGAGACCAGACCTGAGACCAGACCTGAGACCAGACCTGAGACCAGACCTGAGACCAGACCTGAGACCAGATCAGACCAAAGACCAGACCTGAGACAGACACCAGACCAGAGGCCAGACTAGAGACAAGACCTGGGACCAGATATGTGACCAGATCTGAAACTAGAGACCAGAAACCAGACCAAAAACCAGAAACCAGAGACCAGAGCAAAGTCCAGACCTGAGACCAGAGACTAGACCAGAGGCCAGACTAGAGAACAGAACAGGGAACAGGCCAGAGACCAGACCTGAGACCAGAGACTAGACCAGAGGCCAGACCAGAGAACAGAACAGGGAACAGGCCAGAGACCAGACCTGAGACCAGATCAGACCAAAGACCAGACCTGAGACCAGAGACTAGATCAGGGACCAAGGACCAGGGACCAGGGACCAAGGACCCAAGATCAGACCAGAGACTAGATCAGGGAGTGTAGAACTGTACTGGAACTAAAATGAATATCTGAACTGTACCTGTTGTGTTGTGTTCAGCGCGTGTGGCCTGTGTGAAGTCTCGGGACATGCACTGGGCTCTGGTGGCTCACAGGGACCAGAGGGACATCAACCTGAGCTCTCTGAGGATGCTACTGGTCGCCGACGGATCCAACCCCTGTAATATACTCTCATATACTCTACATACACTGCACTGTCCCCTACACAAGCACAACTAAGGAACAATTTTACTTCATGCCTGTCTTTGTAAAGTTCCTGTGAAGTTTAAAGATGTATTTTCTGGGTTTTAAAAGCACCTGTCTTCTCTCTGTGTGGAAAACCTGCCTTGCAACCTGCACCATTATTTCAATAAAAACATTTTAAAAAGTGTTCAAAAAAAGATTGTCCAAACTTAAAATGTAGAAGATGTAGATTGATTCGTATGTTTGTGTTGGTGTCCAGGGTCCATCTCTTCGTGTGACGCCTTCCTCAACGTGTTCCAAACCAAAGGCCTGAAGTCAGAGGTCATCTGCCCCTGTGCCAGCTCACCAGAGGCCCTCACCGTCGCCATCCGAAGGTACCAAATAGATTTACTTCATACTACTTTTTCTATAGATAAATACAAAATAAAGTCTCATATTGTTGTATTATTGTTGCTTTACCTGATTTTTTACTGTCTTCAAAAGTGAAAACAGAACTGCTTTATTTTAAACAGTTTGCAGAGGTCTAAAGTAAATCACAGAAAGAGTTTCTGAGCTCTTTTCACAGCTTTCAGACATCAGTGCAGAGTTGGTTAACTGCTGCTATTCCGACATGACACTATTTAGACAATGAGTGCATATACATGTACATCAGTATCCCGGTTATTAGCCATATCCCGGTTATGGCAGGATTTGGGATACTGTGTATACATGCACAGTGTTGGGAGTGTTACTTTTAAAATGTATTCCCCTACAGATTACAGATTACATACCCCAAAATGTAGTTTGTAACATAATCCATTAAGGTACTTAAAGTGATTAACGTAATCTGAATACTTTGGATTACTTTACTTTACTTGATTTGCTGTAGAAAAGCAAAGACGAGGATATTTTCACATAAGAAGTTTTGTCTGCTAAAAGAAAATAAAAAGACCAGACTTTCCTTAACGTATTAAAAAATATTATTGATAGAAGATGAGGAGACAAGGTCTGCGCAGCATGGTTTAGTCCTGTTAAATCCTGTTCTAGACCTGGTTTAGACCTGGTTTAGTCCTGTTAAATCCTGTTCTAGACCTGGTTTAGTCCTGTTAAATCCTGTTCTAGACCTGGTTTAGACCTGGTTTAGTCCTGTTAAATCCTGTTCTAGACCTGGTTTAGACCTGGTTTAGTCCTGTTAAATCCTGTTCTAGACCTGGTTTAGACCTGGTTTAGTCCTGTTAAATCCTGTTCTAGACCTGGTTTAGACCTGGTTTAGTCCTGTTAAATCCTGGTTTAGACATGGTTTAGACCCTGGTTTTAGTCCTGGTTTAGACCTGGTTTAGACATAGTTTAGACCTGGTTTTAGACCTGGTTTAGACCCTGGTTTTAGTCCTGGTTTAGTCCTGGTTTAGACATAGTTTAATCCTGGTTTTAGTCCTGGTTTAGACCTGGTTTTAGTCCTGGTTTAGTCCTGGTTTAGACCTGGTTTAGACCTGGTTTAGTCCTGGTTTACCACTCATTGAAACAGTAACTGTAACCGAATACAGTTACTCATAATTTGTACTCTGATTACGTAACTCTGGTACATGTAATCTGTTACTCCCCAACACTGTACATGCACCATGGTGAAACCGGGACACTCAAAAAACCATCATAACTGACGTCTGATTGTCGGAGTAGCGACATAAACATTATTTTTTCAAGTGTCCCACTACTTTGACTTTTTTTTTTTTTTTTTAATTGTTGGAGTAGCGGCACTTTATTATTATTCAAACATTCTGTTTTCCTGACATGAATAATATTAATGTGATGTTTATGTATGCATGTATGACATGTGGTGAAATTTGGGTTGGTCTGTCTGTACTGTACATAAGTGTCTGTGGGGAGGGTTAAAGTGCCAAAGTGCTTGTAGTGCATAAAGTGCAAAGTGATGTCTTTGACCTGGGCATGGAGGGAGAGTGTGGACTACAAATATATGTCATTATGAAGTTGGTTACTGTGTGTTTCAGGTTTGACTGTGACTTGATAGTAGTTGAGTTTAAGAACATTGAAGAACAGCGAGAGACACGCCTGGGTAGACTATCGCAAAAAAAAAATCACATGTCGGAATAGAGATACTAAAATTATCGGAAAACTGGCATGTCTAAATAGAGGAACGTTGTAATACCGGAATGTGTAAATAGAGACATGTCGTAATGAAGGGATGTCAGAATAGGTGGCGGACCCGGCAGAGTTATGCCATCAACTAGCATGCTAACTGCTCACTTCCTGAATATTGTAAAATAAACGTTGACCTCAAGAGATGCTTTTACAATATATCTGTACAGGCAAGACCGATTTTACTCAAATACACTTCTATTATTTTTTGGTAGTTAAATATATGATGTAATTATAGGAATTTTAAGTACCAAAACTTAATTATATAAAAGAATCCTGGCTTTTCAAATATTTATTCAGGAAAAATGCTTAAAACCTGTGAAGAAAAGCCAATTACACAGTCTCCTTTTACTACATTATAAAGCAGCTTTTATTAACCTGCTCCACATGGCCAGTCAAACTCACTTTGAAATAAAACTGTAAACGTCACTTACACGCACGGGGCAGAGGGCGGGTGCTATGGTGTATTTCACATTTCCCACAATGCACCGGGCTCCACAGGGGTACATGTGGCTGATGAGAGCCCTGCCCTCACATCCTGCTCATATTAAAGTACCACATAAAACTACTATTACTACATCATGTGGGTTTTCTTGTAGTAAAGTTGTACTGGCCCTGCTCTTTTCATCCCAACCCGTCGTTTACATGCCATAAATCCAGGTTTCACTCAGCACAGGAGGCAGCAGTAAACTCAAGCTCATGAAGTAAAGTGAAGTGAAGGTGTAATAAACTGTGAATAAAAGAGAGGTTTGCTAAAACACGAAAATACTGACTCAATTAGTTGCGCTCATGTGATGTCTTAAAGGTGCATTGTGTAACTTTTTGGTTGAGGGTCCATCACCTGCAGTGTTGGGAGTAACGTGTTTTAAAAGTAAGGAATTACTGTAATGCGTTGCTTTTTGCTGTAACGCAGTAATGTAACGAATTACAGGGGAAAAACCGAGTAATATTTTACTCAGTACAAATGTTTTTATAATGCTTTTGTAACCTGGATTGAAGTGGTGGGTTTTTCGTTTTTCTTCATACAAATTCCCTAAAATCACTGCAATATCAGCAATGGTGAAATGCCATCATTACAGTTCCGGCGCACCCGTGTAGACCGTCGGGTAACCACGGGCGAAAGGACCGGTTCAGAGCTCCGCCCCCACAGAGTTAATCATAGCTGACGCCGATCGTGCTTTGTGTGGAGTGATCACCTCCTTGTTTCTATGGAGATGTTTTTGCTCTGCCTGGAATGTTCCACAGTGTAACTGTAACTTAGTCTGGTTTGGAGATAGATCTGTCTACATTAAATAGATCGGACCCTCTACCAGAAAAGTTATACAATGCACCTTTAACTAAAGAGCCAGTTGTATGAATTGGTCAAACTTCTGTGTTAGAAATAAAAGTGTAACTTCTTTGTAACTTCTTTGATTTGGGGTCAGTCACCTGCTTGTCTCCATAGAGATGCTGCTGCTTTGCCTGAAATAGTCCACAGTATAGTGTAATTTTTATTGCTCAAAAACCTGACCTGGTGGCGTGAATTGCTTGTCTCCATGGAGATAGACGGCTTTACATCCAACATTTCCTGTTAGTATAAAATAACAAAATGCTAGAACTATTTTAAGTAACATACTGTATGTTACACCCTGTAATGTACACCATGTAATTATATAGTAATTAAGGTTAAAGGAGTTTTTTTTTTTTGTGTGTGTAATAAATCAGGTGAGTACACTGGCTGTGGTTGCAAGTTCACCAAGGTCTGATTAATATCTGATTTCTTGATGTTTAAAATTGCTTAAAGGACAAGCAAACAGAACAGTCTGATGTGAGTAATGAAGGCTCAGCAGCAGAAATAAGTCAGATGATTTCACTGTTTACCTGTCATTTTAATAATCTGTTATTAAAAGATATTTGCTCCAAAAACCTGACATTAGTCAGATTTTGAGTGTTTATGTAACCACAGACACTGTTTTAATTTCACAATACCATTAAAAAGTTGTGATTGCAGAGTGCAGTCAGTTGACTAGACTTAAAGCTGTAGATGAATTTTTTACCCAGTACCTAAAAAGTGCAACATTGGTGAATATCTAAATGTTACATAATCATGGCAAAGGAGGAATTCAATTTGTCAACTGAACAAACGTTGTTTTTTTATTGAATACCTTTTGCAGCTCATTTAAGTTCAGAACTGAAGAAGTAGCTTAGATGAACTGCAAAACATATTTGATCAAAAAAACTTTTGTCCAGTTCACAAATTGAATTTCTTCCTTGTCATGGATTTTATCTGGACGACTGAGGGACTTTTACACATATTATGTAACTATGGACTTATTAGATCAGGCGTGTCCAAACTATGGCCCGTGGGCCAAATGCAGCCCTCAGACATATTTTTCTTGGCCCTCAGGCTTCCAGGTGAAATGGCCCGAATGACGTTGCATCAATTAAAAATGTACTTTTTACTGCAAGTTTTTTTGAAAATCTACCTTGATAAAGCTAATAGTTAATATTTAGTGTGTGGTTTTAGCATGAATAATGATGGCTCATTCTAATGTGTGCATGCATGCATATATGTCAGTTGTTCACTGTATTGAGCACCAGTCTACGGCCTTTGACTGGCCCTCTGCTTCGTCTGAGTATAGATATGTGGCCCTTAATGAAAAAAGTTTGGACACCCCTGTATTAGATGATCAAATTGTACAACATAGACACAGCCTCTTTAATAAAATTCAAAGTAAATATTCACACTCACCAGTATATTTTTATGAATTCCCTTTTTGATTCAGATGTTATCCATTTATCCAAGTTTGGGATTAGTAAACCCTGGTGATTCTATCTACTTATTTTTTCCGAAAACTATAAACAATTCTGTATATATAAGTTGCTGTATTTTTCCTATTTTCCAAAGTGAACTGAGGAAAAACTTTGAGTTTTGCAGCCACAAACCACAGTGTCAGTGATGGAATGTTTCAAATCTGTTTCTCTTTCCCAAAAAACTCATATTTGCATAAAATGAGCTCCACATCAGAGAGACACACTGAGGGGTTGAGTGCTCACAGGTACTTTTCTATTCTGTTGCAACTGGATGGAAAAGTTGTATTTGTATTTGTACAGTATTAATACAGTAACTGAATCAACTTATTTTAAAAGTATATGAGGCAATGTTAAAGGTGTATTGTGTAACTTTTCTGGTGGGGGGCTTGTGTTTCCATTGAGATGCCTAGAATGTTAGAATGTTCCATAGTTAGGCATTTGTTATATTATTGTTACATGTCATTCTAGCATTTATTTCATGTTTTTTTATGGTTAAAAATACCTCGGAAATGACATTCTTACAGTAAACAGAGTCGGCTCTCCATAGACCTGACCTGTAACCTTTCCTTGTGACGCCTTGTACAATTACAGTAGGAAGAAACATTACACAAAAATAAAAATAAATTCATGTTCTGTGGAATATTTATAATATAAATATAATATTTGGGTTTTTTGTGTAGGATACATTACAGGTAGATTAGATATTTCTGCGCAATTCTAATTTATCCTCCTCAAATTTTTATGTTTATTTCGAAACATCTAAAATCAAAGTTCACTCTATGTAAAAAAGTTTTATTTTGAAAACTGTCATGACTCTGATAGTAATAACGGAGGTGGGACCAAGTTGTTGTTTTGTGAGTCTCAAGTCTTTGACCTCAAGTCCGAGTCAAGTCCCAAGTCAAATACAGACAAGTCCAAGTCGAGTCTCGAGTCACTGACCCATAAATCCAAGTCAAGTCCAAGTCGTCTGCTTTGAGCTTCAAGTCTTTAAACCAAAGTACTTAGATTTTTTCAATTTATATGAATTTTAAGATAAATTGTACTTAAAAAATCATAGTATATTTATATGTGAGTATTTATAGAATGTATAAGAGTTGTAGAAATGTAAACTTTTTCTTTTTAAATGTCTTGACAAGATCTTAGTGTGAATCATTACGCTCAGAATAGAAAGAATTCAGATTTTAAAGTGCTTCTTAAGTCTTCTCAAGTCACAGGCCTCAAGTCCGAGTCAAGTCCCAAGTCACTGCCCTTCAAGTCCAAGTCGAGTCCCAAGTCTTAGTCCATTTTATCAAGTCAAGTCCCAAGTCCTAAAAATAGTGACTCAAGTCCCACCTCTGAGTAATAGTAATAGTAAATTTCTTGTGAATGGTCCGTCACCTGCTTGTTACTATGGAGATGTCATTGCTCTGTCTGGAATGTTCCACAGTGTGACATTAAACAGCTCTACTTTACATTTATTCAATTACAGGTGGTTTTATTGCTCAAAAATACCCAGAAAAAGAGATCTGACCTGTAACTCAGTCTGGTTTGGTCTTCATGAAGATAAAAAGGTTTAATGCCATACTCTGGAACATTCCAGACAAAGCAATAACATCTCCATGAAGAAAAGCATTTGACGGACCCTCCATCTGAAACGTTACACCATGCGCCTTTAACCTGGATATGCCCGTACTTTACACTGCACTGTATTTCCAGGCCGGTGGAGGAGGACAGCGCCCCCCCTGGCCGAGGCGTGTTGTCCATGTCCGGTCTGAGTCACGGGGTGATCCGGGTCGACTCAGAGGAGAAACTGTCGGTGCTCACGCTGCAGGATGTGGGCTCGGTTATGCCTGGAGGTAAGAGCTACAACAACCTCAAGAGGCGATGAATGAAAAAGAAATGAACACGCAAAACAAATAAAATGGTGACTTTACAAACCATTCGAAAGTTTGGACACACCTTCTTATCACAAATTGTATAAAGAAGTGGACTAAGGGAGTGTGACGTCATCCACATCGTTCACCTCCAGTCAAATGAAGCTCACTGACAGTTATAGAGGCGAATGTGGAGCTGAGTTCCATATTAGGAATCGGAAATTTAAGGGACAAAATTGTAAAATAAAAACACCAGGATCATGTAGAGCGAGTTAATATGAACATTTTAAAGGGACAGTTTGGAATTTTGGACGTAGGACCTCATTTCCTCATGAGTCAGAGTGTTGGAGACGTGTGGAGACACTTTTTGAAATATTCCATCCAGTCCTTGTATTTGCAGAGGTCACTGGTGCTAGGCTAGTGCATGTCAATGGCCATAGTTATGCTGCCGCTAAAAACAGTCTTACCCACTCCACAAAACACCTGAAACAAATCTTTTATTACACCAGACTGTCCATGTGAATGTCTGTGTTGAAAGAATAATGTTTGAAATAAAACTAACCTTGCGTCGCATGAATCATCGCATGTTGAGGAACTATTTTCTCATATATCAGTTCACCGCTGCCGAGCTTTCTATCAGGAAGTACAACTCACTGCTGCTAAGACAGAAATCCTTCAAATGCAAGGTTGGTTTTACGTCTAAAATTATTCTTTCAACACAGACATTCACATGGACAGTCTGGTGTAATAATAGATTTGTTTCAGGTGTTTTTGTGGAGTGGGTAAGACTGTTTTTAGTGCAGGATAACTATGGCCATTGACATGCACTAGCCTAGCACCAGTGACCTCTGCAAATACAAGGACTGGATGGAATATTTCAAAAAGTGTCTCCACACGTCTCCAACACTCTGGCTCAATGTCCAAAAATTCCGGACTGTCCCTTTAAGACCAAAATGACGAACCTCACTGCAGCAGTTAAAGAGAGAGGGTTGAAAATTTTCCAATGTAAAGTCAGTGATTTGTGATTTGAGTCTGTGCTTTTTATTTAATGTTTTTCTTTTTGTTTACTCCTTTGCACATTCTACACACCTTGGGCTTTTTGAGGATTTGAATTGAATTGGATTTGATTGTGAGGAGATGGAGTATCTGAGAAGTGGTTGGTTCTGTTGCTGTGCTGTAGAGACTCATGTACAGTAGAATGAATAGCCCTTTAAGCCTGTTGGTGTAACTCTTGGTCTGTGTGCAGCTCTCATGTGTGCGGTGAGGCCTGAAGGACTCCCTCTGCTCTGTAAGACGGATGAGATCGGGGAGCTGTGTGTGTGTACTCTCGCCACTGGGACGTCCTACTACGGCCTCTCGGGAATGACCAAGAACACCTTCGAAGTGAGTCACGCTGGGTCGGGAAACTTGAATAAGATTATAAAACTGTTTGTAGGTAATGTCAAGTTGAAAAGTACAGTATTTTCTGCACTATAAGGCGCACTTAAAAGCTTTTAATTGAATCAAAAAACAACTGCGCGCCTTATAATCCAGAGCACCTTATATATGAATTTATTGGGGTGTCTTAGTACGACTTTAGTAAACTACAAAGCCGCTCCACTTGCAGCATTATAGCTACTCAAGGTTATTATAAAGTGAAAGTGCGAACTGCGTGGGAGCAGTGGATGAGAGAAGGAGAACACACATTCACCAAGACAGAGAGACAGCGCCGAGCGACTTTCTCCACGATCTGCCAATGGATCGTGGACGCCTGGGCTAAGGATCAGTATCAACTGTGGTCCGAGCTTTCACCAAGACCAGAATCATCACTGAACTGCCAGGGAACAGTAACCACACTGACTCGGATAATGACGAGAGGGATGTGGGTGTGCTGGATGCTGGAATCACACAACTGTCTGAACTATTATGAGTTATTGTGAATACGCGAACAATTTAACGTCTCAGACAGTATTTTTTTTTTTTACGCGTTACAATTGAACAAATTTGAGAGTTATTGTGAACGCGTTAAATCAAGTTTGACTGACTTATCTAACTGTTGTGTTTCGTTTAATGCGCCTTATAGTCCGGTGCGGTTTATATGTGAAAAAAAATTGAAAATAGACCATTCACTGACAGTGCACCTTACAATCCAGAGCGGAAAATACGGTATTAACTAATTCGTTGCTTCTTTTTCCCTGACAAAAGTATGTTTTTCCAGCCAGTACAAGTTATAAACTGCATTACATGAGAGGCACAGACAGAACTGAGAGGCAGAATTTCATAAAAATGTAGTATCAGTATAATCTATTACAAGTATTTGTTTAATAGGGATGTAACAATAACCAAAATATTGTGATATTATATCGTAAAAAGTCTGACAATAATATCATGGACCATCACAATATCTCGAATTACAAGTTCCTTTGCTTAAATACATGGTTTTATAGTAGTAACAGCTTATAAACATAGAGAACTACATATCCCACGATTCATTTCACACCTCACAGACAACATGAAGAAATATGTTTATTACTTGAATTCTTGGGATTATGACAGAAATAATTCACACCAAAATCTTGTCAAGGTATTTTAAAAGTAAGAAAATGTCCTATCTACAGTTATATTAGTCTCCTCAAAATATCGCAGTAAATATCGTACCGTGAGATTTGGATATTGTTACATCCCTATTGTTTAATAACTTGATAATTTACTTTTTTTTCTAACTTGATTGAATTTTTTTATATTTTTGTGATATTTTGCCAGTGAATATAGCTCTTTTTATCATTACATATATCAAAACATCTCGGGATCTTTGGATATCAGTGCTCATCCTGAAACTGTAGCTGGATTGGATATCGATTCAGCCGATATCCTGGTCTGACAGATAAATTGATGTAAACAGACGATGCGTTGCGTGTGTGTCAGGTGTTCCCGTTGTCCAGCGTCGGCTCTCCCCTCGGTGACGTCCCCTTCACCAGGACCGGGCTGCTGGGCTTCATCGGACCGGCTGGACTCATCTTTGTGGCGGGGAAAATGGACGGGCTCATGGTGGTCGGGGGGCGGAGACACAACGCTGATGACATCGTTGCCACGGCGCTAGCGGTGGAGCCAATGAAATTTGTTTACAGAGGGAGGTGGGTCACATGATCTCTGGGTGTAACTATTTGTATTTTATCAAAGTCATAATCAAATGTTAGATTATACGCTAGTGTTTCTCAATCAGTGGTACTTTACTGTGGGTACTTTAAGAATTATTTCAGATATTTTAAAAAAGGTAAAAATGAATGCAGTATTTATTTTATTTACAAAATGAGGAAATTGAAAATGGGAAAGCCAAATAAAGTACTTAATGAATAAAATGAATAAAAACAAGACTGATATAAACGCTGCTGAAGCTAGAATAGAAACTCGATGCTCATTTGAACAATTTATACTGAAAATAAAATCACTTAAATAGAAGAAAAGTCTCCAGGTGGGTGGAGAGTCCCTGTCTCAAGTGGAAGAGTTTAAGTATCTCGGGGTCTCTCGAGTGAGGGGAGGATGGAGCGTGAGATTGACAGGTGGATCGGTGCAGCGTCGGCAGTGATGCGGTCGCTGTATCAGACTGTTGTGGTGAAGAGGGAGCTCTCAATTTACCAGTCAATCTTCATTCCTCCCCTCACCTCTGGTCTTGAGCTCTGGGTAATGACCGAAAAGATGAGATCGCGGATACAAGCGCTCGAAATGAGTTTCCTCCGCAGGGTGGCTGGGTGCTCCCTTAGAGATAGGGTGAGGAGCTCAGTCACACGGGAGGAGCTGGGAGTAGAGCCGCTGCTCCTCCATGTTGAGAGGAACAGTTGAAGTGGCTCGGGTATCTGTTTCGGATGCCTCCTGGACACCTCCCTCTGGAGGTGTTCTGGGCATGTCCCACTGGGAGGAGGCCCTGGGGAAGACCCAGGAAACACTGGCGGGACTATATCTCTGGGCTGGCCTGGGAACACCTCGGGGTCCCCCCGGAGGAGCTGGAGGACATGTCTGGGGTGAAAGAAGTCTGGGAGTCCCTGCTTAGACAGCTGCCCCCGCGACCCGGCCCAGATAAGCAGACCACATGATAATTATGGGAAAATTCTTTACATTAAGATCTTTATTACATTAGGACCAACTGAAGCACTCACTTTTTTAATCTAGCTCTTATTTGGTGTTGAAAACTATGTAAAAATCTCAAAAAGTGTGATATTTTAGTATTGTGACACTGATGTAGTTAAAGGTTTGATACAGACTCTACCTAGAAGAATTTATAAGCACTGCCATGTTTTATACAAATCTACAATTGAAAAGATGTAAGTAGGAGGCAGATATTTTAGCTTTTGACGATGATCACCCAAATTCAATTCCATCTCTGAAGTAAATAGCCACTTGTTGACTGTTTTGTGTGGCTCCAGGATCGCGGTGTTCTCCATCACGGTGCTTCATGATGAGAGGATCGTGGTGGTGGCAGAGCAGAGACCAGACTCCACTGAAGAGGACAGCTTTCAGTGGATGAGCCGAGTTCTGCAGGTAAAGTACAAATCAAATATATATTTTTTTATGATAACTGTTGTAATGCTGATTTATTCTTAGTTATACAAGATTTGACGTGATGGCCAAGTTGTTGATGATGTCATTTGCTCAAACTGATTATCCAATTAAAGAGCAGAATGAAAATAGTTAGTCTCATTTGGGTCAGTTGGCCAGTTCATATAATCAAAACCAGTTGGCTAAAACCTAAAAAGAGTGATCTGAATGGTCACCACCTAAACCTAAGTGAGGGAATTCTGAAGGTTCTGAGTTTTCACATGAGCCATGGACTGTACATATACTGAGAAAAATGTAGATGTATCCTCAATATGTAGGTTAAGGCACTGGCAATCCAGGTCTGATGTTCTTTTTTTAAGATGAATACTTTACTTTTAAAGCTCTTATATTATGTGGTCTTTAAGACATGTTACAATACTGTTACCTCCTCAAAACAGACCTAGTGTTGTGTTGAGTTATTTCATTCACACGTGTTTGAGTACTGTATTTTCCGAACTATAAGTGGCACCTTTTTTCATGGTTTGGGTGTTTCCTGCGACTTATACTCCAATGCGACTTATGTGTTAAATTTTTCACACTGACAGCCGTGAGAGGCTCTAGGCGTGTGTGCTCCTGTACCACTGTCACTTCACTCTACTGCACATGTCAGCTGCAGAAGAAAGAGATAGAGCCACTGTGCTGTCTGTATCATGTCAGTCGATCACATCATTATTTCTCTGTCACTTCTCTGACTGTTTAAAATTTAAACAAACATAAAGACAACTGAAACCATCCTCTCGGGATTCAGAAAAGCCAGAATAATTCTAACTAGAACTGATGCTGAGTCTGACGACAGCGACACAGTAGAGGAAGCGGCGCTCTGTTTACCTCTGGAGGTTGAGGCAGAGTTGCTCAGAAGTGACACCGAGGATGAAGAATTGAATGGATTTAGTGATTTGGAGTGAGATGGAGAGTTTGTTAAACTTGTTCTGTTCTGTTATAGTTTATCTGAAGAACTGTTCATATGTGATGTTAACAGTCTGTTGTTCTCTCTTCTATTGTTATTATTAGAACTTGACTTTACACAGGAAATGTCGGTTCTTGGTCTCTGATTTTATAAAAATCACTGACCAAAAATTGTGACTTATAGCCCTTATAGTCTGAAAAATACAGTAATCCTTTATTATTAGTCTGTCTACATCTTCAAAGCTCAAAGGCTCTGTTCCAATTTGTGATGTCATCAAGCTGTACTTCACAATTTAAGAGCTACCTTTTACTTATTGTTTAGTATAGATTGGAAATTCCAGGGCTGAAATTATCCAAATGATTCAAGTGAAGGTGTATGGAGTTTAAAAACACAGTGGAGCACTTCCTGTATTATCACATGACATCACAAGGTGGAACAGAGTGTTTTCTGTTTGAGAGAAGAACTCAGGCCTAAACATACAGGGTTTGTGCGTTAAACGTGTGTGAATAAAACAAAACACAACTCCAGGTCTGTTTGTGATGAGGAAACGACATTAGAACATGGAAGTAGAAAATAGCACAATATTGGCCCTTTAATAAACCCTGTGAGCCTGGAGTAAATCTGTGTGTCTGAGTAAGAGACTGGAGCTGTTAGAGCAGAGACAGTGTTGTGATGAACAGGAGCAGTATCATCTCTTCTTTATCCTCTGTCTTTATCTACTGTACAGTGTGTTTTATGGACTCCTCTGTGTTCTGCCCTCTGTCTGGGTCTAATGCACTCTTCATTTCAGCAGCACCAGCACAGCTCCATCCAAACTCACAACAGATGTGACTCACAAAGTTCATTTGTAAAACTACAGCAGTGTGTGTGTATGTGTGTTTCATAAGAGTAACACTGCCAGATAAGAGATGGTATTGAATGTTTTTAGGTTTTATTATAACTTAATCTTGATGTGTCAGCGTTTTATATATATATATATATTATCTATCTGTTTATAAATGTACAGTTCATAAGGTCTTTCCAAGGCTGTACAGTGTTGGGGCGTGGGAAATGGTACATCCCACAGTATGGCATTAAACATGTCTATCTTACATATATTAAATTTATGACTTAAAACAGCAGTTTTCAATAGGTGAGGTGCGTCTCCTCAGGGAGGCGTCAAAGAGTCACTGGAGAGGTTCGACACAGACGGACTAAACCAGGACTGATCCCAGGACTGATCCCAGGACTAAATCAGGACCGAACTAGGACAAAACCAGGACTAAATCAGGACTGAACCAGGACTGAAAATTCTGTCCCGCGCCGTCTTCTAGCTCAAGGTTCTCCCTCTCTCTCTCTCAAGTCCAAGATTAGTCCTGGTTTAGTCCTGGTTTAGACTTGGTTTAGTTCCGGTTTAGTTCAGGTTTAGTTCTGGTTTAGTCCTGTTTTAGTCCTGATTTAGTCCTATGTCCTACTTATGTTCAGTGATGTTAAATGTAGCCTCATTTAAGCCTGCATGAAGTTGGAAATTATCGGCTCACCTGTTTTTACCTACTCTAAAGCGAGACTCACATTCACCCAATTTGAAAACCCATATTAGTCCCATATTAGGGCTGGGCGATATGGAGCAAAAAATATATTTAGATATATTTTGCTATATCTCAATATACAATATATATCTCGATATGTATACAGGAAAACTAACCCTTCAAAAACTACTGCAAAAACAAATATACCAAATTCTACAAGGTATTTTTTATTGAAGTAATAATATTAATATTACAAAAAATCCCTAATTACATAAATAATAATTTAACTGTAAAATAAAAGAAATAAAACATATTTAATTCTTTTCATTGATAAATAAAACAACTCAACTCAAGTTCATCTTTGCATTAACTCTGTTATCCAGACCAGAACCAGAACCATGAGCTCAGGATTTTCCTTATTTTAACAGATCTGTGATCCTAATGAGCAGTAAGGAGCTCTGAGGTTTCCCACAATCCACTGCAGATAAAACCAAACGTTTCCAAACACAATTGTACAAGTGACACTGCAGCAGATTATGATTAAATCCTCTACATAAATGAACTTTACATTACTAAACTTTACAACATATAAATCATAACGACTCTAGAGCCACATCAGCCTGTTTGACATTATAATAAGTTTAATGCAGTTTTGCCACACGTGTTTACATTTAACAGAAACAAAACTTAAATCCTCATGGCTCATTTGCATAAACAGCTCACTTCTTGTGCTGCTCATGCGGTCAGCTTCTTTCAGGCTAAAGGACATGACTCAGGTGAATGAGTGTTCTCTCTGTGACAGAGGATGTGCTGCTGATGATTTTGTCTGTAAAAGGTGGAAAAGGTTTGTGGTGCTTGAAGCTTTTCACTGGCACCAACTTTGGGCGTTTATTGCGGTAGTGAGAAGTGAATGAGACACAAGCAGCAAAACCAGGGAGGCGGGGGCGAGCACAGAGAAGGCAAACAAGCGAAGCGGCGAAAATCAGAATTGAATATAAACATTAGATCGATATATACGATATTTCAGAATCCATATCGAGTTTAAGAAATATCTCGATATATTTAAAATATCTAGATATCGCCCACCCCTAGCCCATATTACACTATTTTCGGATCTATGTTAGAATCACAAACATACCCGGAGTTGTGTTTTCTTTCATTCACACATTACACCTTCAATACAATAATTTGGACAATACCAAACCCTGAAACTGCCACTTTCTGCTGAACAAAAGAGAAATGCTGGCTGTTAAAACCTGTTGAAACCTACCACTACATGACATCACCAGGTGGAACAACATTTTACCATGGCTTAAAGCTCACAAGAATCATTTTTACATAATCTAGCACTTTTAATCATGTGAACTAGTTTGCATAGTCTCTATATAAAAGATACAATTATGTCATTTCTTTGTAATTTTCTCAAAAGGATCACCCAGTATATGATGTTGCATGTTACTCTAAACCTTTACAAACTCCTATCTCCTTTCAGTCTGGCCTCCCTCTGCTTTGTGGCTTTTCTTATCAACAGAACAAAGCTGTCTGTATATCACATGTCTCCACTCCGCGGCCCGTATAGTGGCCGTTACAGTAACATATGCGGTGCTGATAAACCCTGGCGAGTCTGAATCAGGCTGCGGTAATTCTATAAAAAATCCCGGAGTTTTTACCACTTCAGTCAGAGGCTCATGTTTTTTTCCATTCACGTCAGCGTTTGTGAACTTTGTGTCAGAGAACGCCATGGAAACAATGCAGAGCAGCTGGGCCTTTACTACGCTGCTCTGTGATGAAAGAGACACAACATCAAATGATCATATTAAAACTGTTTCATAGGATTTGGAGATGGTTAGAAAGTTCGTACGTCAGCTAAACAGCGGTATGAACGATGTGGAATGCAGTAGAAATGTGAAACTGAAACTAATTCACTTTATTAAAGGAGCTGGAGCTTTGTATCATGTTAGAAATGTGGAGAAAATACAGACAGTTCATATTCAAAAGTTTTCTTAACGCATTTCTAGCATCCTAATTATTCACTGTGATGAGTTTAAAAACACTTTGCACAATTTTCAGAGGCCAGAATGTCACAACACTTCTAACAACAGTGCACCAATACAACTTCCTGGTTCGCGGACAATAAAAAGGCTTTTTAATTAGATGCAGGCTGCACACAGTGAAGAACTTTTTTTCACAGTTAAATAGTTTTATTATTATGTTTACTGACTTTCTTGTAGGTAATTCTGATAGTTACATATGAAACAAAATTCAAGTTATTAAAAATTATAGTAAATGTGGCTCAGAACTTCCTGGTTCGGGGACAATAAAAATGCTTTATCATTAAATCCAGACATCACACAGTGGTCTAGATTTGACCCTGAGACCTGCTTTTACAATATACCTGTACTGTACCAAAACAAATAAAATTTAGTGTGTATGTGTGTGTGTGTGTGCGTATATATAATGTCATGTTATGTTTATTGTCATATAAGTACATATCGTATTTTTCGGATTATAAGTGGCTCTGGAGTGTAAGTCGCACCAGCTAAAAAATGCGTAATGAGGAAGAAAAAAACATACTTAAGTTGCACCGGACTATAAGTCGCACTTTTTGGGGGAAATTTATTTTATGAAATCAGAGACCAGGAACCGAAATTACAAACAAGTTCTAGTATTAACAATAGAACAGAGAACATCAGGCTGTTAACGTCACATATGGACCTATATATTATCTTCAGATAAACTATAACATAAACAACAGAACAGAACTAATTTATCAAACTCCATCTCACTCCAAATCACTAAATCCATTCAATTCTTCATCCTCGGTGTCACTTCTGAGCAACTCCGTGAAACTCTAGAGATAAACAGAGCGCCGCTTCGTCTTCTGTGTAGCTGTCGTCAGACTCAACATCAGTTCCAGTTAGAGTTACTCTGGGATTTCTGAATCCCGACAGGATGGTTTCAGTGTCACTGAAGTCCAGGCTTTGTCCATCCATCCAGTGACTTCCAGGAAAGTTTCATGGTTCATCCTCCCAGTTCCCGTGATGCTGTGTTCTTCATCCCTGCTTTCCGTCAGTCCTTCACAAGTTTCTCGCTCACTCCAAACTTTCTGCTGCTCGATTACCGTTTCCGGCTGCAGATTTCACTACTTGCAGCAGGACAGACGCTCTTTATGCAGCAGACATGCGCAGTAGAGTGAAGTGACAGTGGTACAGGAGGAACCTCTTGCGGCTTCAAAGTGAAAATTAAATATATAAGTCGCACTGGAGTATAAGTCACAGGAAACACCCAAACCATGAAAAAAAGTGCAACTTATAGTTAAAAAAAATAGGGTAATCCTGGTGGTTACATATGAATGGCATAAAAAAATTACAAAATGGTTGTGTAACTTGTTTACTGGGCCAGCTCTGACTGCATAATGAAATAAACCAAAAGATGAGATAATCTGATAAAATGACCTCAATCTGTTGTCATTCTTTTTGTCTTGTTTCCAGGCCATCGATGGCATTCACCAGGTGGGCGTGTACTGCCTGGCTCTGGTGCCCTCCAACACTCTGCCCAAGACCCCTCTGGGCGGCATCCACCTGTCTGAGACCAAGCAGCTCTTCCTGGAGGGGGCGCTACATCCCTGCAACGTGCTCATGTGCCCCCACACCTGTGTCACCAACCTGCCCAAGCCACGACAGAAACAGCCCGGTAACACACAACGCTCTGATCTCTGTTATAATGTTTCCTCATCAAAAACAGATCTGGAGCTTGTTTTGTTTCATTCACACATGTTTAACACTCAAACCCTTCATATTTAGGCTGAGTTCTTCTCTCAGACACTCCATACACCTTCACTAGAATCATTTGGATGATTTCAGCTCTGGAATTGCTAAATCTCTAGTGAACTAGGTATATAGTAGCTGTTAACTTTTACAGAGACAAGGACAGACTAATATAAAGGGTTACTTAAACATGAGAGAAGGAAACAAAACACAACTCCAGGTCTTGTTTTTGTTTTGAGGAGGTAACAGTGTTCTAACTTGGCTTAAAGGTCACAAGAGTCAGTGTTGTGTGATATAGGATCTTTAAATGACAGTTATTTTTGCAGATTAGGTTTATACAATGTACGTATTACACAGATTAAGGTTACTTTTACTCTGAAATGAATCACCGTACAACAGCATCACCGTATCGGAAACGATCTGCGTCCTGATAAGTCGTTTCTGTGTCCGCAAGTCTTCCCTCTCCACACAGCTTTGTGCATATTTGTTTACGTTTTACAGAAACGAAACTTAAAACCACATGGCTCATTTGCATAAACTACATGATGCAGTTCAGCTTCTAACCGCACTAAAGGACACGACTCCTCGGAATATATGATAGAGGAGTGTTCTGCTAACTGTGTCTGAGGGTGCAGCAGCCGATTTTGAGCTGAGGAAGATGGCAAGTGTGAAAACAGACTTTTCATGGACCGTGTACTAGCAAGTAGTTCTCGCTCCGCTGTTTCCCGTTTGTCTCTGGTTTGTTTAAACTGTTTTCCGCAATAACGTCACACAACTGTTGTCACAAACCCAACGAATCAGGAAGGTGCAAGTCACAGTGACGTGGTCCAATAAGGACACAACTAGAGCTCCTATGTCAGAGTATCAGTGGTTTCAGGCGTCCACACAGTGCCGGATCAGATCTGTACTCAGATGAATTTGTGGGAGCTGGTGGCACCAGATCGTTCTGTCTCTGGAGCTGTTTTCAATCAGATTAATGTGGAAGCAAAGGGCTCAGATATGTACTAGTGTGGATGGGGCTTAAATAGTCACTATCTGTTACTGTAAAAAAATAGCTAAATTCTTTCACATCTGTCATCTACTGGTGAATAAAATCAAATAAAGGTACAGATGGTAGCTTTAACCCTACAGAGAGTCATTGTGGTTACATGTAGGCATGGTTCAATCTTCAAATTTGGTGTCACAATGGTTAAAATAATTGTGATTAACAATTATATCATGATAATTATTTGTTGTTGCTGTTTAAAAATGTTGTGGATATGATTAATTATCATTTTAATATTATGAATAAGTTCCATATTTAAACAACTGTTATAAAATTGGACTTTGTTGTAAGCAAAAACAACAGTGATTTAGAAGAAACATCAAGGATAAGTAGCTTTTTTCTGCACATTCTGGTGATAAAATGGCCATTTTCTTTGTTAGCAATTCTCACGATTATGTCAGATTTCCTTCGAATGATTATTGCCAATCTCTTTTATCACCATAAACCATATTGTTGTTTATTGTCCCATTTCTAGTTACATGAATGACTTTTTTGCCTAAACACATCTGATTTCATGTTTCAGAGATCGGCCCTGCGTCGGTGATGGTGGGGAACCTGGTGTCGGGGAAGAGGATCGCCCAGGCCAGTGGCAGGGACCTGACCCAGATGGAGGACAATGACCAGGCAAGGAAGGTGTGTGTGAGAGGGGCCCTGGTCTTCAACAATAGCATCAGCATCAGCATTAACATCATTTATGTTGCAGTGTGGAGCTTTAGTTAGTTGCTGCGTTCAAACATACGGCTGCACAACAAATTAAATCACATCCCTGGTTGAAAAAAGTAAATATATTGATTCAACTTACCGTATTTTTCTGACTATAAATGAAATGAAAATGACTATAAGTGAAATTCCGGAGGTAAACTGAGCGTCACTTCTTCTTCTGTGTCGCTGTCGTCAGACTCAGCATCAGTTCCAGTTAGAATTATTTGGGCCTTTCTGAATCCTGACAGGATGGTTTCGGTGTCACTGAAGTCCAGGTTTTGTCCATCCATCCAATGACTTCAGGAAAGTTTCATGGTCTTGCAGCACTACAGAGGCTCTTTCTGCAGGACACATGTGCAGTCAGTGTTGGGAAGTTTACTTTTAAAAAGTATTCCCCTACAGATTACAGATTACATTTGTAACATAATCCATTAAATTACTTAAAGTGAGTAACATAATCTCAATACTTTGGATTACCTGTAGAGAAGCAAAGACAAGGATCTCTTAACATGAGATGTTTTTTTCTGCTAAAAGACAATGACAAGCCCAGACTTTACTTAACCGTATTAAAAATATTATTGACAGAAGAGGAGGAGACACGTTAAATCCTGTTTTAGTCCTGGTTTAGACCTGATTTAGATCTATCTTACATCTAGTATAGACCTGGTTTTAGACCTGGTTTAGACCTGGTTTAGTCCTGGTTTTAGACCTGATTTTAGACCTGGTTTAGACCTGGTTTAGACCTGGTTTTAGTCCTGGTTTTAGACCTGGTTTTAGACCTGGTTTAGACCTGGTTTTAGACCTGGTTTAGACCTGGTTTAGACCTGGTTTAGATCTAGTTTAAATTAAAAAATCTAAAAATCCACAGTGTAATCGATTTATTTCAACAAAGTAACTGTAATCCAATTAGCACTCATTGAAACAGTAACTGTAACTGAATACAGTTACTCATAATTTGTACTCTGATTATGTAACTCAGGTACATGTAATCTGTTACTCCCCAACACTGTGCAGTAGAGTGAAGTGACAGTGGTACAGGAGTAACAGCAGTAGAAGATACTGACACACAAGACTAGAGCCTCTCGCGGCTTCAGTGTAAAAATTTTAATATATAAGTCGCAGGAAACTCCCAAACCATGAAAAAAAGTGTGACTTATAGTCTGAAAAATACGGTATGTGAAATTAAATATTGCATTTTTTGTGCAGCCCTGTAAGAATCAACCTACACCCAAAGCTCCTCATTTCACCCACTATGTTAAATGACACTTACACTTATTTTACACTTAATACCACCGTCTTCTAATACTATGTTCAGCTCTCTGGTCATTTTTGGAATTTATTTATTTTTTCTCCTAAAATATTAAATCTGTTATGCCTGGACAGAAGCTGTATTTATTGAGAAAGATAGAATAACGTATATTTGTATTATGTATTTAGAATAGATTTTTGTATATTTTTGCTGATAATCGTTGGCAAAAAACATACTACTACTCTTTGTTTTCTTTGAATCTGATAAGAGGAACTTGGTCCCAGCTGAAATCGGCCCGTTACTATTGAAGCTAGAATTACACTTGTGAATCTGCACTGTGTTTGTACAAGGACACCGATCGTTCAAAAGAAAAGACGGGAGAAACAGTTGAAAGAACCAGTATCTCATTCATACCTTTATTTTCATACCTTTTTCCTCATCCCTCGCTGCGCTTGTTCGACCATGTCCACGTGTTGAAGCCAGGCCCTCTGTGTGAATGTGCGAACACAGTACAAACCAACACACTCACGAGGTTTGCTCTGTTCTACTCTGCTTTCTTTTTACTTCCAAATACCATCATGTTTTGTGCAATGGCTTACAAGGATGGACAACATGACCACTGCAGCTTCTAATGACAGATCATTTGTATGGAGATAAGGGTTGTTAAACATGTAGAAAATCAGATACTAATGGACAGGGGTGTGCAAAAATATCAAAATATCCAATATATTTTATTGTTTAATGTGATGATACAGTATTGATATCGTGGGCTGCTGTATCGATATATCACTAAGAGTATTTTTGGTATATTTTTGCAATTATTTTGTTACAGCTACAGTTTTGTTGCTTGTTTAGTAAAAGGAAACTCATTTATGTGACATATTTGACTTTTTCACTGTTTTGATGAGTAAAATGTTTCTGTTTCGTATGAACTTTGCACTTTTACTATCACAGCCATGATTTAGCCTTTATTTTTTATTGAACCGTATCGAATCATTTTGAAATATATCGTATTGAAAAGTGCACTGTATCGAGATATGTATCGTATCATGGCCTATGTATCGAGGTATGTATCGTACCGCCAACTTCTGAATGATACCGAGTCCTATTTATGATATCAACATATACCAAGAAAGTCACATTCACAGGACAGAAATGAACCTTTCCTGAATAGTTTTAGAATGATCTTGAGCTGTATCAGAACAAGCATAATTTGAATTGATTTATTTAATTTGTGCTTGGTATTAAAACAAACAAACAAACAAACAAAAAACTGAATTTCAGCAGAATTTACACCTGGGCAGTACCTGGAGGACTAAAGAAAAGAGGGAGGTGTGAGAAGCAGTGCTTTGTGATGTCACCAACTACTAGGGGTGTGCAAAAATATTGAAATATCGATATATCGTATCGTTTAATGTGATGATACAGTATTGATATCATGGGCTGTTGTATCGATATATCGCCAAGAGTATTTTTTGGTGTATTTTACTAAATTATTTTGTTACAGCTACAGTTTTGTTGCTTGTTTAGTGGAAGGAAACTCGTTTATGTGACACATTTGACATTTTCACTGTTTTGAGGATTGAAATGTTTGTGTTTCATATTAACTTGTTTTATTGAACCGTATGAAATCGATTTGAAATATATCATATCGAATCAAAGTGCACTGTATCGAGATCGTGTATTGTATCGTGGCCTATGTATCGAGGTATGTATCGTATCGGCAACTTCTTAATGATACCCAGGCCTACTAAAGGATACTAAATCTAGTATCTAAACTAGTTTTTCATTTGATACCAAAAAATTCACATTCACAGGACCGAAATGAACCTTTCCTGAATAGTTTTAGAATGAGCTTGAGCTGTATGAGGACACGTATAATTTGATTTGATTTATTTATGTTGTGTTTAGTGTAACAAAACAAAACAAAGCAAAACAGAATTTCATCAGAATTTACAACTGGGCAGGACCTGGAGGACTAAAGAAAAGAGTGAGGGGTGAGAAGGGGTGGAGTCTGGTGGTGTAATAAACAATGTGATTGGTTTAATCCGGTGTTTCCCAAACTTTTTTTCTGGGGACCCATACTTTAAAAGTCACAAACCTTCGCAACCCAAGTCAATAAACATTATTCGTAAATCACAAAATAAAGTTGGATTTGAGCATTATTGAACATTTAATGAGAATATTTTATTGTTGAGTGAGTGATCGTGTCTCTGAACAATTAGTATGACTCAAGTTTTAAACAATGAAAAACAGCAATTGAAGCAGCAATAAAAGGATCTATAAGTCGACTATTTGAACATTAAATGTAGCCCATTTCTTTTTCTTTTCAACATTCAATTGAACCAGCAATATTGGAACAAAAGAGTCAATAAAATAATTACAAAAAGATTAGAAATTATACAAAACATGTGTTAACATTTCAACATTTCTAATGAGATAGGTCAGCCTGTCTGTGTTTTTGTAGTGTGTTCCAGTCCAGGTGCAGGAGCAGATCAGGTGTATAGGCAGAACTGTTTATTGCAGATCTACATGCAGATTGTGACAAGGCGACCCAAAAAAATCTCTTGTGACCCACGTGAGGGTCATGGCCCAATCTTTGGGAAACACTGGTTTAACAAGTATCCACAGCACACACTCCGCCCCCTGTAGTCAGGTGTTTATATCAGAAACATTTGGCTGTACTCCGGGCAGTGCTGTGTGATGTCACCAACTACTCAAAATTACAGGGGGCACTTAGATTTAGGAGTTTTTGACTTTTGAGTTTTCAGTTTTTTGAGTTTGCAGTAAGATTACTAAAAAAAAACAAACAAAAAAAAAAAAAAACAGGAACAGTAGATATTGCTTTTAAAACACCATATACAAAGTTAAGTGGCAAAAAAGCAGCGCCCGTAGAACTCTATTTTATGAGCTATATTCTAATGTTCCTCATCACAAACAGACCTGGAGTTGTGTTTTGTTTCATTCACACATGTTTAACACAAAACCTGCACATTTAAGATGAGATCTTCTTATGTGGTAATGCAGGATTTGTTTGGATAAATTCAGCCCTGGAATTTCCAATCTATACAGAACAAAAGGGAAAAGGTAGATGTTAACATGAAAACTACCACCTCATGACCTCACAAGGTGGAAAAGAGCATTTTGAGCTTTGGAGATGTAGACAGCCTATAATAAAAAAAAGAGTTACTCAAACGTGTGTGTGTGAAACAGGAGGAGGGAACAACATTAAAACATGACTTACAGCTCACAAGTGTCAGTTTTACGTACACGGGACCTTTAAGAAGGGCCTTGCTTGTTGTGTAAAACTCCAGTGGTTTATAATGGAGAGATTGTGCAGTAGACGTGACTTTATCTGCGCTGGGAGCTGCAGAGGCCTGTGGCAGCAGCTGGCCCCTGTGTTAGGTTTCATTGTTGTGATGATATCTGATCTACTCTGTATGCTGCGCCCATGTGGATCTGAGGAATCTGACACACACTGGGGCTTTGTCCATACAGAACACTCATAACATGGAACCCTGCTAGCCTCCATCTGCTGCTAATGCTACTGCTAACACTGTCTTTGACTTTGATTTAACGGTCCTATATTATGTCAAACTGACTCTTGTGAACTTTAAGACATGTTAGAATGTTGTTACCTCCTCAAAAACAGACCTGGACTTGTGTTTTGTTTCATTCACAC